ACCCTCTCATGATTTTTTGTGTATTAATCTTATCCTTAAAAATGTGGTTTAAAATCACACACGAGTTCATCCAAGATGAGTGTTTAGAGACCTAAATCAAATTTCTTCTTCTCATCTATATGCAGTTATTTGATGTACATTCTAGGTATTATTCTTGTTTGATAATGCGATCATTATGTCTTGAATATACTGTTACCATCAAAAATCGATCCTTCGTTCTGGTAATTTATAGGAAGTGCTTCAAGAATTGAAAGGGGTGGATTTCCTGATCGTAAGACTTGAAGCAGCTTAATCATTAGGTAACTATTTAGAAGTCTTGCAACCCTCTCTGATCATTTTTTTTGGTAAGTAAATAAGTTTCTTTTACATTTATGCAAACACTAATTTTTTTCTTGAATAACAAGTGCTCATGACTTCTTTTGATTAGACATGTAATAATGTTAGTACCTATTCATTTAGCATATTAACACTTTTAACTTATTGGTTCATTTTATGTTACTATGATGTGAATCTTGCATGAGAGGATAGTAATTTAGCCTTCAAAAATTTTAAACATCTCATTTTATTATGTGTAAGCAGTGGTGAAAACATGTGCCTAACAACTCATGTTACTTGTAAATTCAAAAAAGTGAAAGGCTCAAACTTTGATGATAATGTTTAAGGCTCAAAATTTGATGATAATGTTTAATTTTTTGTTTGATTTTGTTGATGGGTTTTTTTAATGGCATAGTCCAATGGTGATACAAAAACGTGTGAAGGAAGTTTCATCTGCAAAACTTAATGTATCAGTTACACATTCAGGGTTCGATAAAAGTTGTGATGTTTTTTTTTTCTTTTTTTTTCCTTTTTTCTCAAATCAATAGATCGAAATGATTTGAAGTTCAAAGTTTGTTGCGAACATTGTGTTTTTTTAGATGCTCGTGAGTTGTAAAATATAGTTCCATCTTCAAGGTTCTTAAAATTTTATGACACCCAAATGCCAAAAAAAAAATAAAGAACAAAGTTTGATGTTTTGTAGGGATTTTACTTGATCCTGGTGAAATGGAGAAGAAAATGCTGCTCACTTTGATGGTTTTGATTTTGGATGTCTCAAGTTTTTCTATGGTGATAATAGTAGATCCTTGTAAGATCTTTACTTGGACAGTTATCAAACTGCTTCTCTTTTTCGTGTCCCTCACCAGGTTCTTATTTATTTAAAACTCCAAATGTCTCTTTCTTACTTTAGATTTTCAGTTTCAACTAGTTGAAAATTAATGCAAGTCAAATTAAATGTTCAACTTTTACATGTTATCTTAAGAGATAAGTGCAAAAAAGTCACTATATTACGACAAAATTTTGAATTTGACACCGAGTTTTTCATCGCAATTATATCACTATATTTAGAATTTTGTTCTCAACCAAATGATTGGTTCTTCCTATACTTCCGGTAACCACTTTTCCCAAATTGCAATAAAGTTATTATGTTTACTAAAATTGTGATTTTGACACTTTTTTTTCTCAATTATATCACTATATTTATAACTTTGTTGCAATATCAATCAAATGACCGATTATCATCAATCTAGTATGTTACCAAAAAAAATGACATTACAATATTGTGACGTGCAAGTTACATCACACCATTAATCTAGCATTTCATGCACAAAAGAAAAGTTTGTCTAACCCATGGCCATGGCACGACTCTTTATAAGGCGCTATGCGGCGAGGAAATAACCTTCCAACTCTCTCTCTCTCTCTCTCTCTCTCACCCTCTCGACATTTCGGTCCATCGTGATTCGAGTTCTCGTATTGTAATCTAGTTAGCGAAGCACTGGAGATTTAGGAAAGATAACTAAGGAAATGAAGTAAACATCAAGGTTCTGATCACAACTATCTGTACCTCACAAAATCGAGTAAGTTAAACTTACTCTTATCAAACCTTTTTAGTTGTTTCAAGAATATTCAGGTGGAAGAAAAGTCACATCCAACAATTTTTTGTTTTATTAAATGCACTACTCCACACATCCATCATTGCATGCATGAAAGAAAAGTCAGCCTGACCCATGGCTAGAAGTTTTAAAATAACTTAGTACGTTAGATAAGAGTAAGTGTAACTTACTCGATTTGATGAAGTTTAAATAGCATGAGAAGAACTTTGATGTTTACTTCCTTTCCTTAGTTATCCTTCCGAAATCTTTAGAGCTTCGCTATCTATATTATAGAATGAGAAGTCAAATCACGATGGATCGAAATATCGAGATGGATATATATATATATATATATATATAGAGAGAGAGAGAGAGAGAGAGAGAGAGTTGGAAGAATTGGTGAAAAGAAATCAGGAGGGGTGATCCTCCTTTTATAGGGAGGTTTTTGCCTCGACACATTGCTCCCTCTAAAGGGTCGTGTCGCGTCTATGAGTTAGACTGACTTTTCTTTCATGCACACTATGTTGGATTGATAATGTGATGTATCTTCCACGTCATAATATTGTCATGTCATTTATTTGGTAACATACTAGATTGATAGTAACCGGTCATTTTGTTGATATTTTAAGACAAGTGTTAATACAGTGACATAATTGAGAAAAAACACAGTGTCAAAATCACAATTTTGGTAAACATAGTGACTTTATTATCATTCGGAAAAAATGGTTAGCGGAAGAACATGTAGAACCGATCATTAAGTTGACATTTCAAAAAAATAAATTGTAAATATATTGACATAATTGCGACAAAAAACTCGGTGTCAAATTCCAAATTTTATGGAAATATAGTGACTTTTTGCAATTTGCCCTTATCTTAACCAATGGTCAATTTCGTGGTTCTAAGCTTGATGATGCCACACATGACAATATTATCCTTATTCTCATTAGTAGACTTAATCTACCTTTTCTCTTCACATGGTGAGTATTATTGTCATTTATGTTTCTTCTTTATATGCGATTTAAACTTTACATTAATAAATGATAAATTCCATCTACTATTATAGAAATAGATGAATACAACATCACTAAGACTCTATTCAATATTTGCAACAGAATTCTAATGAATCACATATGTGGTTTCAGCGAATCTTGCAAAACCTTCTAGACTAAAAAAGTTAATTTAATTTTGGCATACTAATATCACTAAAGTCTAATCTTTTTGGCACTAAATTGGGAAAAGCCCTGAATTTAATTTTTCGTTTACTGTGGACACGGTATTTTCGTGGAATTATGGCAAAAGGGCAAAGTGTCGGTTTCAATAGTTTCAATAGGTTACAAATCCTAGTCGAACATTGGAGGTAGTTGTTAGCTAGGTTTTGCTCCATTCTTTTCTCCAACGTCAAACCAAAAAGATGGTAAGCTCCTCCAACACACACATACAAGGGTACAGAGAATAGGCTTTAAGGAATCATTGGTCTAAAGATTTGATATGTGAATGTTATGAGCCTGTGACATTCTCAATCTCCAAAACTGTCAATAATCCATGGAGGAAATTCAAGGGGTGTCCAAAATAACAGGTAATATTAAGTTTCCTATTTTTTTGTGGTCTTGTTGAACCAATATGAAGAAGTGGTTGTTGTGCACAACTCCAAGGAAACTATGTAAAAGTTCCATATGAATTTGGAGGACTCTAAGAACAATAAAGCATTTGGAATGGAGATTTTGAAGCTTTCGGAGGAGGTCAAGAACAACAAAGCAGTTCAAGTGAATATTTTAAACCTATTGAAGGTGCAGCCACTTACGATGGTCATGTTTTTGCTGGTGGTGATTGTAATCGGGTTTATGGTTCACAATGTTGTGGTTAAAGCACTGTGAAGTTGTGGGCATTAGTTAGGTTCAGGTGGAATGGTAGTAGTAGTAGTAGTAGTAGCTTTGGTGTAAGGGTATTTTGGTCAAGTTAGGTAGTAAGTAGATGCATGAGTTATGTATTCTAATATTTTGGTTTTGTAAGAGGTGACAATGATAACAACTTATTATGTCTTAATGATAATAATTTATCAAGTCCTTTAACACATACATATGTATAAAAATAACCAAATCTTGAAAAATTTAATAGCAACCTACTTACCAAACTAACCAAAACATGGAAGGTAACAATAATTATAGTGATCAAGGAATATATATATATATATATATATATATATATATATATATATATATATATATATATATATATAGATAATGTAACAATCATACCATGTCGTTTACAAAGCTTCCCAAATATCAATGTCAGTTAACATCCCAAAATAGGGAATATACTTTACAAGGCTTCCCACAAACCACTACCATACCATGTAACCTAATTAGAACCAAAATCCCAATTCTACCAAACATTATGGACAAGAATTAGTAGCTTGTTACCAAAAGACAAGTGTACCAAAAGTAGATGTTTCCAAAAAAGGGAAACATATTTACTAATGCCCATTGTACCCATTCAACCCGTAAACATAACTTCTTAATCTAAAACCTAAGGGATTTTGGAAGACCCACCACCATCAGCATCCTCAACCATTTTCCTGAGCTTCAGTTTCCTAATTCTTTCAGAGGCAGTCCTCTTTTTCTTCCAATGGAAATTGTAAGAACCAGAACCCAAGGGTATTACTCTTGCTCCAATCTCTCTCTCTTTCTCTCTCTCTCTCTCTCTCTCTCTCTCTCTCTCTTTTTTTCTCTCTCTCTCTCTTCAACTTCTTCTTCCTAACCTCTATTTCTTCAACTTCTTATTCCTCAACCTCTCTGCCTTCATCTTCTTCTTCCTCAACCCTCTCTTTCTTCAACTTCTTCTTCCTCAACGTCTCTTTCTTCAATCTCTTTTTCCTTAACATCTTTTTTCTGAACATCTATTTCCTTAACTTCTCCATAAACCTATAATATAACAGGCTAGTTAGTAAAGCTACAATATGAAAGCTAAAAATAGTGTAACAACACATACCTCTTTCATAGTAACCACTGTATTAACATGTGTATATCCAGACAAAGGAAACTCCTTTAAAATAACTCTTTCATTCACCTTCACCTCATTGTCATTCTCTTGTTCCTAAACATCCTCCTTTCTTTGACTCATAGCTTGCTTACCATTAGGTGTATGGGTAAAAATATCATCAAAATCCTCATCACAGGTTAGGGAAAAATCCTCCTTTACTTGAATCTTATATTTCTTACCATTATGTGTTTTCTTTGGTGTTTTGTTCCTTGATCCAAAAACTTTAGTTTTCCCTCCTTTCCTTACCATCATATTAGTCCTTTTCATAGGACTAACAATAGGACCACCATCTTGATCACTGGATTCTGAAACTAGGGGAGGAGCAGCATCCCTTCTTAGTATAGCAGACCCAACTGGAGAGAATTAATCAAAGATAGGTTGGCCTCCCCCTCTTTCCTAGGTCCTTTAATATTTCTTTTTGGGATAGGGGCCTTAGGGACCTCATCATTTGTGCATGAAATTTTATAATTCCCAAGTTGTTGGCACTTTCCACACCTTATAGTCCTAGGAGCATTTAACCTTTGTGATGGGTATTTGGCATCTTGTGATTCAGATGCATGCTTCACTCTCATTAGTTTCGGTCTTCTAGACATCCTTCTAACTAGGGGTAGTAATGGTTTAATAAAGTCGGTCCTTGGCCACAAGGTTCATCCACCTCCAGGTTGTATGTTCTCACTGTATGTTGCAACATATTTGTCCTTATAGAACCAAGAAGAAAGGAATTGACTTAGATATTTGTGGATATAGTTGGTTGCAGCTTAACTATGCACACATGGCATGCCCAACAACATCCACAAGTTGCAGGTGCAAGTGTGAGTAGCTAAATCAACCTTGTATCCATTATATCCATACCTAGTCTCAGACACATCACCGCCACTTGGCACCACTGTCCACAACCTACATACAAAAAAAAACAAAGTACACACACAAACAATAAATACATAATATATTTGGATACATGCCCATAAAAACTTATATTACCTCATATATTTCCCAAATTCATCAATATTCAGTTGTATGTTAGCCCCACAATTACCCTTCCATTTGGCTACCTCGTAACCTTGATGAAAAAACCTTTTCATAAGGAGAACCCTTATTTCCTCAAGCATTGTAAGTAGATGCTTCTTCCTTATTTGTTTTATCATGCCATTGAAATATTCTGCAACCCCATTTTCTACTACCTCACAAGCATACCCATGAGAAAAGAAGGCTCTGCACCAGGTTTCAGGTTTCCTTGCCATAAGATAGGTGTATCATGTTTCTGTTATCTTCTTTATCTTCTCCATTGTAGCAAGAAAGTCCCCTTCCATTGTACTCAGAGCAGCTTCCCAAAACAAATTATTTAGCTCTAATCCTATTAATTTCTTCCTAAAGTTTGCAAATATAGGTCTGCCACAGCCTGTAGAAGTCTCTATAATTAACAAAACAAACACAGCACATGTAAAAATTAATGAGTGTAACATAGAAATAAATATTGTATACTAATATATATTGTTCGTACCTTGTGTTGGTCTGAGATAACAAACAGTCCATTTCCAAAACCAAGATACAAATCAGCAACCAAATTCTCAATGAACCAGGTCTAGTTGTCCATATTTTGTAACATCCCAACTCCCAGGTATAATATTTAATTAATTTACTTTCATAATTTCAAAGCAACTCGACGAGTTGGATGCCCCAACTCGCTGAGTAGAGGAGTTAATGGCCACGTGATTTTTAGAGTCTACTCGACGAGTTGGAGGACCCTAACTCGACAAGTAGGTACTGAGTGAGAAAACCCTAAATTTTAGGGTTTGCTTCCCATTTAAATGACCTTAAGCCTTCATATATGCCTCCCTTGTCACCTTAGAACTCTGTGAGAAACCCTAATCAAGCTTCATTCGTTGTGTGTATGTGTGTGTGTGTGTGAGAGAGAGAGAGAGAGAGAGACTAAATTTGGGTATTCTTGTGCACTTTTGGAAGGAGGTTGGAGATCAAAAAGGCTTGGAACGAGGAGGGACTCTTGGATACAGTGTTATTCAGTGTTAGCTTCTGTTTAGAGGTAAAAAGCTTCCACCTTGATCATTTATTTTGTTAGGTCTCTTTCTAGGGGTTTAACGGCATTCTTCCATCCATCTTTTAGCTATTTGAGCATGACATGAAGTTGAAACATCATATCTAGACCATATGAGGTCCTTTGAGCCCAAAGATCCAAGCTTTACTAAGTTAGTGACAAGCGTTTATACATTAAACCACATATAGAGCTTATTATGGCATTTCAAACCCTAGATGCCATGCATAGACGTAAAGCTTGCAGCTTTACGTGGTATTTCAGCCTTGGGAGGCCAGATCAAGATTTTGGGACATTATTTCTGCTTAGAATCGTCTGAATGAATATTGCTTTAGAGGGATTCGACGAGTGCATGAGCCAACTCGACGAGTCAGTTGGGGTTTTACCCAATAGACTGGTCGCGCTACAACTCGGCGAGTTGATGAGACAACTCAATGCATTGAGTTAGATTTTCCTGATACTTTAGAGAAAATGAAGGAACTCTACTAGTCGCGTAGATGCACTCTTCGAGTTTAGTCAACATCGATAGTTGACTTGAGCATTGACTTTCGTTAACTTTTAGGGTTTGGTCAATTGTGGACCTTAGAGACCATGAATGGGTAAAATGGTATTTTCACCCTTTTTGAGATTTTGTGCAGGAGTTAGCTTAGCATCTCGGAGTGGTTATTACAAATCGTATATTATAGATAATTATATTATACAGGCGGAGTCTAGACTGTTCGTTAGGTACTAGATCTACTTGCTTACTTCCAAGGTGAGTCTTCTCTCTATACTTACGTGAGCGGTAATACTGTGTGACCGGAGGGTCTTATTTGATTTATTGACCAAAGGGTCATATATGTTTATACTGAGTTATGTGATATTATGCATTTTGTCTTCGTGATATATGTTATATTATTCTGTGCTTTACTTAGATAGGACCATAGGGTCCAAACCGAGTTGTGAGACCGGAGGGTCTTCACTGAGATATAGGACTGGAGGGTCCAACCCGAGCTGTGAGACCAGAGGGTCCTCACTGAGACACGTGAACGGAGGGTCCACATCGAGCCGTGAAATCGGAGGGTCCTCACCGAGATGCATGAGATCGGAAGTTCCATGCATAGTTATAGCCATGAGATGCTTATTATTTGTGTATGTGGTATTTTGGGGAACTCAATAAGCTTCGTGCTTACTGAGTTGTGTGCTATGTGTTTCAGGTACTTCTCAGGATCGTGGGAAGGCGCCGGCTTGATTGTACACATATGTTAGACACTATATCGAGGATTCTCGGATATTACCAGTTGTTTTGTTGAATTGTGTTTTTAACACTTGATACATTGTGATTTTGAGAAAATGTGATACTGATTTTATGGGATTTAAAAATGAAAATTTTGTTTGAAATTTTAGAGTGTTACATTTCTCAACATTCACAACTTCCCATGCTATTGGGTAGACATGGTTGTCTACATCCCTCCCAATAACTGTTAAAATCTCCCCATTTACCTACCCCTTCAAGAAGCTACCATCTAGTCCTATTACCTTTCTACATTCTCCGTTCCATCCATCTCTGAAAGCCTTGAAGCCAACATAAAACCTTTTTGAAATACTTACACCCCAGATTACTTTCTACTCCAACCAAGCAAGTTGTACCCGGATTACTCAACCTAATTACAGTTGCATAGTCCAAAACCTTGACATAATGGTCTTCTAACCTCCCTTCAAGTCATCCTCATTGCAGTAGCCCTTGCTCTTTGGCATTGCCCAACAGATACACTCACTAAAAACCTTTGTAGCACATATGCTTGCATCTCTAGCAATGTCATCTTGGGCTTCATGATTACATCTTTCAGGTAGTGGTTGGCTAACCAGTTACTAGTAACTAGGGAACCAAAATGATAATTCCTAGAAAACTAATGAATTTCAATACAAAATTTAATTTGGAATGTCCTTTCATTGTACTTCCATCCAACTACAACCCTAAATGAACACTATATTTTTTTATTGTCACTGCTTCCACTACCACACTTAGCTATAACCCTCACTCTATCACCTTTTTCAAACTAAAGTTGGTACCCTCCATGGACAACATAGTTAGTTAAAGCAAACCTGAGTTGAGCAGGTGACTTTTATTAATCACCTTTCCAGTCAACATTGGGATCATGCACCCTATACTCCACACCAGCAAAGGAGACATTCCACGTAGTTAAGAAAATAATCATCACATAGTTTTGAGGGGGCTTTGAAAGTTTCTTCAGAGCCAGAGTCTAGAAGGTATGTCTTCTCAGGGAGCTTAGGCCCTTTAGGCTTCTTAATTCCAGAATTAGAAGCCATTTTCTTTATAAAAAAAACTGTTAGTTCAAACTTGTAACTCCATACTCCATAGATGTGGAAGTGATCTGAATGGACTTGGGAGCCGAAGTCCGAGATGCGGGAGCAGTACCAGAGTTGTTTCTGGAGGATGATTCTAGTGGGGGGTTGTAACATCCTGACTCCCAGGTATAATATTTAGTTTATTTGTATTCATGTTGTCAGAGTAACTCGACGAGTTGGAGGCCCCAACTCGTCGAGTAGAGGATTTATTGGTTGCGTGATTTTTAGAGTCTACTCAATGAGTTTGAGAACCCCAACTCGATGAGTAGGAGTTGAGTGTGAAAACCCTAATTTGCAGGGTTTGTGTCCTATTTAAAGGACCTTAAGCCTTCATTTCTGCCTCCCTCATCACCTTATCACGTCCATAGAGAAACCCTAGTGAGTTAACCGATATTGTGAGTATGTGAAGCCAAAAATGTGAATTTCCTTGAAGAAGCTTGAAGAGTGAAGAACTTGGAACAAGAAGGAGCCTTTAGATCCAAATTCCATATAGTTGTAGCATCTACTCGGAGGTAAAAATTCTTTACCTTGACTCACAATTTCTTAGATCTCTTAGTATGTGAGTTGTGGACTTTTTAGTGCAAAAATAACGACCATCCTCAGGTTAAGCATGTCCAGAGGATGTGGTTGCTGATCTGGCTCCCCTAGACCCTTTTGTGCATAAAGTTTCAAGCTTTATGGAGCTTGATCCTTCTTTCTAACCTAAACCCCTTCTTGAGTATAGTTTTGAGTGTTCTTAACTACATGTTGGACACTGTACAAGCTCGATGAGCTGTTGAGGCAACTCGACGAGTTGACTCAAGAGTTTCAGAGAACAGAGGGAACTCAACGAGTCAGATAGATGCACTCGACAAGTTTTGTCAATATGAACTGTTGACTTGAGTGTTGACTTTTAGGGTTTGGTCAATTATGGACTTTGGAGACCATGGAGGGGTAAAATGGTCTTTTCACACCTTTTTGAGATTTAGGTAGTGTTTGTTTTTTGTCTGCAGATCTGCGAGATGTCTTTTGTCTGCGCCGCGCAGACCACGCGCAGACATTAGTCTTCGCAGACTGTTTGTTTTTTTGAAGACTGCAGACCTAAAAATGTCTGCGCGCCCTCTTCTTGGCGCAGATGTGGACCAGAGTCTTCTAACATCTTCAGACATCTTCTAGCTTAAAAAACATATATATCTTTATTTTTTTTAAGTTTTTTTTTTTAATTTATATTTTTTCCAACTTTATTAATGATAAACAATATGAAAAAAAAAAAAACATTTGACGATACAAACATGATATTTTAAACAAATTTATAAATAAAAATTTATTATAATAATAGTCGTTGAAGTTATTTATATAAATATGAAAAAAAAATCATAATATATTCTTATATTTTTTTGCCAAAATTTTGTAAAACTTTATTTAATAAAGTATCATCAATTTCTCGAGAAAATATTTATCGTACGTTTTTAATAGATTTATTTGAAAAAATCGAAGTTTATTTCCATCTATTTATGTATCAAATTCTTTGATCACTAATTATAATGTTTAGTTATAACTTTACAATCAAAGTTGTTGGTTTTTATCAAATATGTATATGAATTAATACCATTTTTATTTTTATTTTTTATATAATAATACATAAAAGTTGATCTAGATTCGTTATATATTTATAAGAAAGTCGTAAAAATATATAAAAAATTCGCTTTGAAGTTTTAAAAAATCAATTTATTTAGATTTCAGTTTATTTTAATAGCCCGCAGATGTTAAAAAAACAAACAGTCTTCTTTTTTCAGACTGCAGACGTTTGGTCCACCTCTTCTACTGCAGAGGTCTACAGATGTGGTCCGCAGACTGCAGACA